GTCAGGTGTTTGCCAAGCAACAGAGAAGCAAAGGGCACATCCGGCTTCGTACTTCCAGATTCATCCACGGTGATAGCATCCGTCTTCCTTTACTGACTTAGAATGAGCCTGGCTTATGTTGACCATGTAATCTTCACACAGGCTACCTGTTGGCCTTCAGAACATGCCTCCTGTCACTCTTACAACAGACTTTCCTCTAGACCCTCAAGTCAGTTGTCACTGGCCACCTCATGCTGCTCTGGGCTTCTCATTTCTTCTGTTTACTGAAATTTGAGAAACAAAAATACTTAATTATTCCACATTTGTCTCTGTGGGCTGAATGTAAGCCTGAGTGTTGGAACCATGTCTTGGCATTAGTCCCCCAGGGTCTATGACAATACTAGGCACATAGCGATATTTTAAGACTCAACACTAATAATGTGACAGTCCTGGGCACTGTTCCAAGGTCTTGTGTAGTAACCCATTTAATTATTGTGACAAATCTGGGATGCAAGCCTTATTGTTTCACTTGGCAGATGTCACATAGGCGAAGCAAGATATAGGGAGATCACTTAGTGGAAACAAGGACTTGGACTTGAACCAGACAGTTCAGATCTGATGCTTTAAATGACTGTATTTTATTAGTCTAAATGTTTATTAGAAGCACGACCTTCAGAATGTTCATTGGTCCAAGTTATTCGGGGACTTGCTTATAAACAAACTCATTGTTGTAGAGCCCTTCTGTACTGAAGGCTAAGTTTACCCGGAGAGAAGGGACACTTTTGATGGATCGTCTAACACAGGATCTTGCAGTGTGAGGCTAGCACGGACCACACTTGCAGCCCTCTAGCTTCAGAATCTCAGTTGCTCACACTTCCATGTGCGCACCAACACGCCCAGATAAGATAGGTGTCACTTGCGCAAATACCTTGAGAAAATATTGTCAAGCCCATAGAGATAACTGGTCTAAAGGTGAATACAGTTGCAATAACAAAATTTCCATGTCTCTGAGGCTCATAAAAACGTAGAGAATTGCATTTCCGTATATGTTTATAGACATGTATTTAAGGATACTAAAAAGACCTTTCTGTGTCGCCTGAATCAGTCTAAGGAGAGAACAAGCATTAGGTTCCACGTTTTACCCTTCTGTTAAACAATGGAAGTTGATTAGTTTTCAACTGTTGCCTGGGCTACTGGGGTGTCATCCAGGGTAGCTATGGGAAGAGTGAAAATGCACAGGATCTGTGGCTGGAGAGATGACTCAGCAGTTGACGGTACACCCACACTGGGCAGTCCAGGACTGCCTGCAACTCCAATGAAAACGATTAAGCACTCTCTTCTGGCCTCCCCGGGGATCGGTCATGCATACGGTGCACATACATACATGCAGGCACTCACACATACTCATAAAATACTTTTAAAAACATAGAATGCAAAATTGGGCACTGTCCTTCCTGGGTTAGCTCTAATACTGGTGTGAATGCTCTCACCTGTTTCCATTTCCATAGCTGACAGCGGAAGTAACACTTGCCAGCGGGTATAAAGCTGAATAGTGTGATGATGTTTTTACGAGTTCTATGTGCTACAAGAAAGGCACTAATAAATACCGAAGCGCAGAGTGCTCGTTTATGAGTGGTAGATGGTTCGGGATCAGCACTCATGTCCCAATAGTAACAGAGGATGAGTCCTAACATGTGCATGTGTGCCTAGATATTAGCTATTTAGAGTCTGATAGGAGCATTTCCTCCTCCTCCTCCTCCCCCTCCACATCTTCTTGAGACAGGGCCTCAATACGCAGAGGTGGATGGCCTGGAGCTCATTACGTAGACTGTGGCTGGATTGAAGGCGAGCACCGCCATGCCTGGCTTCTCATAGGGCATATGTGCACGCCTTGTTTATTTATTTGAGTAACACCGAGGAGCACTTGATCCCAGTGCTAAATGACTTAGACAGGAAGACGTTTCTGTAATTCACCCAGTGCGGGTTTCACATTAAAGCTTGGTGAGTGGACAATCACAGCTGCCTTGCAGAGCGACTTCCTCTCCACGGGATTCTACTGTGGGCATGCTGAGGATCCCTATGCTTCTTAATGAGAGGTGTCTAACCAGCGGTGAAGGGGCCGATCCGCCAAGGCTAGCGTGTCCAGGCAAGAGTTCTTGGGCAAGCATAATACTGGAGTTTGTCGGGACTCCTAGGTTTCCAGTTCAGAATGGAAAGAGATGTGCAACACTATCCTATGGACTGGTTATCAGCCGCCATTCTTTTTTAAAAACTAAACTAAACCCACAAGCTCTTTCAAACGGTGTATGTATGTGTATACTCTTTAATAAAAATTGACATTTCAATATGGCTCGTGTGGATAAAAAGAATTAAAAGTAACAGCAAATCTGCTTTTCAAACAATTCAATACCTCCATCTTACTGGGTTCTTCAATGCCTTCGGTTTGGCGTGGTCTTCTGTGAACTCTTCCGGTGTGGGGTGGGGGCGGGGAGGGGGTTCATGGACTCACTAGCCCCTCAAATTCTTGGGTTGCGTGCCCCTATGGGGTCATGTAATTGACTGTGGGGGTGGGGAAAGTTTTACAACAAAAACAGTCAAAAACCAAGACCAAATGAGTGGTGAAACAAAGCATTTCTGGCGGTGCTCCTCGTGTTGCATTGTGGGTATCACCGTAGCCTGAGTTCCGAGCCACTTAAGTCTGCTGATTGCTGCCTGACACACCCAGGCTCAGATTTGAGATTACGATGGTATGAACTGCTATGTTTTCTACTGTAACTTTCTAGCCTTTAAAGGAAGGCTTATTGTTTTTAGTCACGCATACTGCGCACAGGAGTGCAGTTGTCCTCAGAGGCATTCGCGTAGGAGTTACAGGTGTCTGCAAGCAGCCTGCCACGGATGCTGGGAACCCAACTCGAGTCCTCTGCAAGAGCAGCGTGAGCTTTTAACTGCAGAGCCAACTCCTCTGCCTTATAAAGACACAATGGCTTAATTAAGGGAAAAACTTAGTGTGTTTTCCTACTACTGTTTCTTACCAAGTGTCAAATTTATTCATCTTTGGATTGTATCGTGTTAGAATATTTGGTTTTAAGAATTGCAATTTGGGGCTGGAGAGATGGCTCAGAGGTTAAGAGCACTGACTGCTCTTCCAGAGGTCCTGAGTTCAATTCTCAGCAACCACATGGTGGCTCACAACCATCTGTGATGAGACCTGGTGCCCTCTTCTGGTTTGCAGACATACGTGGAGGCAGGATGTTGTATTCATAGTAAATAAAATCTTTAAAAAAATTGCAGATTGGGTTACTGCCTTGAATTTCACTGGAAAATAATTTTTTAAAAAAGTCCCTAAATAAATTTGGCTTGGGATTAGGATAGAATTTCCAACTATTTCTGAAATGTTCCCAAACTTATTGTCATTTCGCACTAGGAATTTATATGAAATGATTCTCAGCATTGATAATTAGAAATCAAAACACCAGTCAACTCCAAAAATGCTGAGTCCAGAAGTATCAAATATTCAGCCAAGAGTAATTTTTATGGGGAAAAAAACCAACCGAAGCTACCTCATTTGTATACAAATTTGCTTTTGTCTTAAATGGATACAATTTTTGGTCTTACATTTTTTTAATATACAAAGGAGTTTCATGACGAAAATAATCTTTTTTTTTATTTTTTGATTTTTCAATATGGGTTTCTCTGTGGCTTTGGAGTCTGTCCTGGAACCGACTCTGTAGACCAGACCAGGCTGGCCTCGAACTCACAGAGATCCGCCTGCCTTTGCCTCCCGATCGCTGGGATCAAGGTGTGCGCAGCCACGGTCCGGCGAAAACAGACTTCTTTACGATTTATTATCGGTGTTTGCTTTGCACCACTATTATATATCCTACACGCCCAGTGTGGCCTAAGAATGTCTCAGGTGAAAGGGGGCGGCGAGTCATACAGCAGCGGTGGTAACATACATTCGGCCCTGGATCAACCCTTGCCTCCCGGGGAGTCTAGGGGTGCTTCTAGGTGGCAACAGCATCGGCCTGTGCTTTGTTTGGCCCGGAGCTGCCTAGAGACCTCGACTATTCGAGTAGCACCGTAGGACGCGAAAAATGTTTATTTTCGCGGTGCACGCATGCATTTGTCCCTCCCGCTCTTCCTGTCCCTGGACACCCGGGCAGTCGGATCCGCCCGCACCTTCGTTGCCCGGCGTTCTCCTCCAGGGATGCAGATGGAAGTCGTCCCCGGCACCGGGAGGACGCGGGCGGCCCGCAGACCCAGCCCCTGAACTCCGTCTCCAGCCGGCCGGCACCGATCGCCCCCGGGCCGAGCAGACGGACACGCCCTGCCGCCTTCCCCCAGGGCGGCCTCTGTTTCTGGGACGCGGGGCTCCCAGGCGGCCCGCGCGAACCGTCTCCTTCTCCAGGGCAGCCCCGCCGCCCTCGGCCGCCCCACCTACTCGCCTCCATCCGACCGCGGCCTCCTTCCCGGCTCCCAGCAGGCCCCGCGCGGAGGCCCCGCCCCTCCCCGCCGCCGCCCGGGGCATGCCGGGAGTCGAGGTCCCCCCGGCGCTCGACGGCCTCCCGTTCGGAGTTCCACTTGGAACGCCGTGCGGGCGCCATCCGTCGTGGGCGCTCCCCCTCGGCACTCGCAGCCCCTGGGGACCGAGAACGAACGACGCCTCTAGCCGCCTCGCCCCAGCTCGCGCCACCACGACTGACAGCCGCACCGCGCCGGGAGCGACGGCGGCGGCGGAGGCGGTGCCGGCGCAGGCGCAGTAGCCCCGCCTGCAGCCCGGGTCGGCGCGGAGGGCGGGGCCGGCACGAGGGTCTCCGGGCCGCGGTGGCGCGCACGTCGGCGCGTCGGGCCCGTCACGTGGGGCGCCGAGGATCGCAGTGCGCGTGGCCGCGGCGGCTGGTGTGGGGTTGAGTCAGTTGTGACACCCGGAGCTGCGGACACCCGACTGGCGGCCGTCGTCACCCGCGGCCCAGCAGCAGGCGCGCAGCCTCGGCGGCAGTCGTGAGCCTGGGCCCCGTCCTACTAGAGCTCCGCCGCGCCGGCCTCGCCGCCACCGTCCCCCCCGCCCCCGCCGCCCCGAACCGCCGCCGCCGCCGCCGCGGGCGCGCCCCCGCTCTGCGCTGTCTCCGATGGCGTCCGCCTCCGGGGCCATGGCGAAGCACGAGCAGATCCTGGTCCTCGACCCAGCCTCCGACCTCAAATTCAAAGGTAAGCCGGCTGGGGCGCGCCCGAGCGGGGCCGGGGAGGGCGGCTGGGCGGGCGGGCGGCGGCGAGGCCGGGTCGGGCCGCGCTCCCCTCCCCCACGCCCGTGCTTAGCGTCGGGACCGCGGCCTCGCTGCGTCCCTCGGCCGGCGCCTCGCCCGCCCGCCGCTGCCCGCCCGGGCCGCGCAGGGGAGGGGAAGGAGCCAGCTGGGCGCCGCGGAGGACTCAGCCCGGCGCCGCCGCCGCCATCTTGCGGCCCGCGGGGGCGCCGCGGGAACCCGCCCGCGCCTCGCTCGCTCGCTCGCCCACCGGCTCGCCCTCCCGCACGGCGTCCTTGCCACCTTCCCCCATCCCCGGGGCGCCGGCCGCGGCGCGCTCGGGGCGTTGCGGGCGGCGGGGCTGGGAGCTGGAGCTCCGGGGTCGGCGGGCGAGGCGCGCCGGGCCGGGTGGGGCGGTCGCGGGGCTCGGGAGAGCCCGGAGGCCCGGCGCTGTCTGCCGGGGACTGACCCCCGAGGGTTGGCAGGGCCCCAGGCGCGCGGCGGGAGGCTGTGCGTCAGCGGGGGCGGGGACGACACGACACGGAGGGGACGGAGGGTTGTAGGTGAGAGCCTTAGCGAGTCCCCGCGTCACTCGGGCTCGTCCCTGGGCACGGAGGACCTGGTGCCTGGCTCCAAACTCCCGGGGGCGATCACACCGTCTATTATATATATATAATATATATGCGTATTTTGCCGAGGGATTCTCGGTGCCGGTGACGCTAGCGTTTGCGGTTTCCCAGCATACCCTGAGAAAGCTGATAAGGTGCCACACCGCCCTGGAGCTGTGGACGGTGACAGGGAGACCGCTGGCTTGGCGATCCTTGTCCGGATCCAGGGCCGTTGGGCGTCTTAGTTGTGGGTGTTTGTGGGGCTAGACTGCAGGGGGAGAGGAGTTTAAACCGTACAGCTGACTAATTTTTAAGGAATCCGGATAGAATGTGGAGCTAAAAAGACCTTCCCCTCCCTCTTTTAAATATAAAGCCAGCACACCCCTCCCCCTTTGAAAGTTAATACCTGGGTTTTTTTAATTTTAGGAACTGTGCTAAGAGCAATTTCCCTTGGGTTGTTGCATTGCAGGTCTAGTATTAAAAGAAAAAGTAAGTTCATGATTGTGTAAGATTGAGTCAGAATGAGAAGAGCTGGATTGGATTGTCCCTGTAGGAAGGATTTTTAAACTAAATTATATTAAATAGTTGCAGGACTTACAAACATTTTGAGATTATAGATATAATTTTTTTTCCTAGCACTACTTCCTACTCTGCAGGTGTTCCAGTGCATTTACAAAGTTTCTCTGAATGGAAACGTAATAGAATTCCTCATTTGACAAGAGCTCGACTTTTAAGGCAGCGCTAATATCTTTGAAACTAGGGGTAGTTAGTCAACCAGGCTTCTAACCCCGGAATTTTGGAGGCCAACCAGGAACCATAAGACGTTTGAGACAAGCCTGGGTACGTAGACCCCAGACAGTGCCTCAGAACCTCAGGTACTTGCTTCATTTTGCTGCAGCAAATTTCTGTTGCCTGATTTTTTGGAGGGGGTTGGGTGGAGGTGTGCAGAGAAGTCCTTGAAGTGTGTGTACTGAAGCAGCTGTCATTAGCCGTCATTAGTTGAAGCGATTTAATGTAGGTCTTTATGGCAGTCTAGTTTGCTGTCCCCTTCGACAGTTCTCCAGGAAATTTTCTGAACTGCATAGCCTCTGTGGAAAGCGTTTTACGAGGCAGGTTTTAAAAACCAGAAGAAACACTGCATTGTGCTTTATCTGATGTTAAATAATTACAGCTGTGTTTATACAACAGGCTCGTGTGTTATCAAAATAACACCCCAAGACTAGTGAGGGGGACAAAAAAGAGATACACATGGTGTCTGAGGAAAGCAGTTTTTCTCTGAAGGAAGCTTTTAAGGGAAGAGGTACTTGTGAAGGCGGCAGCTGGGGAAAGCTATGCAAAGGGAGTGGTAAACGCTGAGGTGAGAAGATCATAATTAAGTGCCCGGTTGTTGAAATGCCTCTGTGAAGGTGGGCCAATCCGATGATGATGATAGGGAGAGGGCTGAAGTAGGAGCCTGGCATTGGGTGGGGCTTTCCTCCTTAACGGTACTGTTAGTCACAGGGTATTCTGTGCAGTGCAGACTTTTGTCTTAATGCATAGCTCTAAGTAGGGCGGTTTAGAATCCAGGTGTGCATCTTTTGGTTGACTACATCAGAAATTATTTAACTGATTTTTCATTTAGTGTAGGTTGTTTATGCTTTTTCCTTTGCAAAATTCTTTGATTATTTGGTAGGTTTATTTGAATTATTTGGAATCAACATCTGTATTTCAACGGTTCCCAGGAGTGACTCATTCAACCTTTAACATGAGTAATGACTTGATAAGAGTTATTACTATACACAATTTTGGAAAAGCAGGTATAGTTTTTGTGTGTATCTCCATCTTTCAGTAACATTTTAACTAGCAAACTGTAGGAAATCTTTTATGACTGTAGAATGAATTCTAAAGCATACCTTTTAGTGCAGAAAAAGATACTTAAGACAGATTTTGACCCTACCAGTAATTTGACCTGTAATTTAGATTTGAAATTATATATTTCATGGAAAAAGCTTTTTTGTCCTCTAATGTATTAGAAAATTTGTTTATTGCTTAGTGTAGCATTTGATTTTTCCCAGATGATAACTGTTGGAGGCAAATTCGAAGAAGAAAGGTTTGCAAAAGTTAAAATAATTCCAAGAAGAGGGGCTGGAGAAATGGCTCAGCGGTTAAGAGCACTGGCTGCTCTTGCAGAGGACCAGGGTTCAATTCCCAGCATCCACATGGCAGCTCACAGCTGTCTGTTACTCCAGTTCCACGGTGTCCGACACCCTCACACAGAGTATATACAAGCAAAACACCAGTGTGCATTAAATAAATTAATGCTAAAAAAAAGTGATTGCAAGAGGAAAACTGGACTGAAAAGGTATCCAGCCCATGGTAGTCCCTGATGAATGGATGGAGAGCCCTGTGGTGCCACTGTCAACTAGCCTTTCCCTGTCTGAGCAGGGCTTCTTTCACGTAGTCCAGGCTGCTCTGGACCCCAGTGCAACCAAGAGGACCTGGAGCTTAGAATTATTTTTATTTTGTCCAAGTTTTCTCCTGCAGGTATGTATGTGCACTACTTGGGTGTTGGCTGCCTGTGAAGGCCAGAAGAGGGTGTCATGTCCTTTGGAACTGGAGTTGCAAATTATCGTTAGCTGCCATGTGGGTTCTGGGAATTGAACCTGGATCCTCAGGAAAAGTAGTCAGTGTTCTCCACCATTGAGCCATCTCTCCAACCACTTTTAAGATTTAAAAAACAGAATGAAATACTTTTATTCTCTGGCAGTTTTACACACTCTCACACACACAGTGTGTCTTGATTCTGCTGTGCTCTGCTCCATCTGACCCCCACATGCTCCCCTTTCAATCCATGCCCTCTTTAGAAAACTTATTTGTACTATTTATAGGCGTGTGTCTTCAAGTTGCTGTACGTGAATGCAGGTGTCCTTGGAGGCTGGAGGTGTAGGACTCCCTGAAGCTGGAGTTACAGATGGGTGCTGATGTGAGTGCTGGGAACAGGACTCAGGTCCTTTGAAAGAATAGCCAGTGCTAACCGCTCAGCCCTCTCCCTGGGCTCCCACTACCCTAGAAAGTCGTCTGCTGAATCTAGGTGGTGCTGTCCACATGGTGTTGGTGTGAGGCTGCCCTCAGGAGCACAAGCAGCCTTCCCCTTAAAAATCCGACTCCCTTCCTCAGCAGAGGTCAGCTGACTGGGCCATGTGCAGGTCTTGTGACTTTGGAAGTGCAATGGCCATGTCATGTCCCCAGAAGACAGCGTCTCTTAGCACTCTTTCATTCTTTTCGCTTCCTCTTTGATACCCTCTAGTCCTTGAGGGGAGTGTAGCCCATTCAGACTGAGCACTCCCTGTCACTGCTCTTAGCACTTGGGCGGGTTCTGAGTTCTGAATTGATGGTTGCTCATTACAAAAGGAAGCCCCTCTGATGGAGGGTGAGAGCAGCAGTTACGCATGTAGACAGTGTTTAGAAGCCAGGACAACAACAACAGTAGTAGGTTCTACCTAGGGCCCAAGATCTCCCAGCCTTGGGCCTTTGACCAGGTATACACCATCAGTCTTTTCTCTGGATCAGGTTTCAAATACAGTTAGACACTGATTGGTTACCCCCATGTTAGTCACGCCGTTATTGCACCAGTGGGCATAGCCTGATTGGCAGGTTGGTGTTGTAGCATGCAGGGTCCAGTATTGACATCTTCTCTTCCCAAGTGACCTGCGTAGTTTTTACCTCTGTTGAACCGATTTCTTTAATGCATCTCTGCTTGTAAACTTGTTAATTTTGGAATTAATTCAATAATGACTTTGAGAAGTTAGTGTTGGAACTACAATTGCAAACTGTCCTTGATCTTTTTTTTTTTTTTTGGGTGGGGCAGTTCTAAAGGGCAAGATCCCAGTGTTTAGGAATGAAATGTAGGAGAAACTTTTAACAATTGGGAACTGAGATTTCAGTCGTTAGTAGAAGTTACCTAGAGCAGCATTTCTTAACTTGCGGGTTGTGACTCCTTTGGCAAACCTCTGTCTCCAAGAAATATATTACAATTCAAAACAGCAAACTTAGCTATGAAGTAGCAGTGAAAATAATTTTATGGTTGTGGGTTGGGACAACATGAAGAACGCCATTAAAGGGTCACAACATGTAGGAAGCTTGAGAACCACTGACCTAGAGGAAGAAAGGGAAATGGAGGGACAGTGTCCTGTGGAAGGAAGGACCAAGGTAGTGCTGGTTTGGTAGGTCAAGTTAAAACTTTCATCTTTTGTCCTTAGCCACTGAGGGATTGTAAGTGTGTATATCTTAATTTGGGGGGCAGCTATAAAGGTGGGCTATGGTATTTTGTTTTTCACTGAGGCGCACTTAATGGTTGCCATGTAAGTTGGTATTAGAAGTG